TTTTTTTTTGCTTAATGCTATTTGTGTTTATATCATATTGTACAATGGGTGGCTTGCTGTGCCGCAGGATCACGGCAACATGGGATGGCAAGGATTTCGGACCGTTCTCAATCTATCTCGACAAAGATCACGCCGAACGCTATGCACTGGATTCGGATTGGTCGGGTTTATGTCCCATGCAAAGACTCATCAGATGAGAGTGCTCTTGGCGGCTGCCGTGCAAGTGGGTCTGTTTTGGATACCTTTTCCCCGCTTTTATTTCGCAAACAGTATCCATTTGTGCAATAGCTTTATGAAGCTGTTTCTTTCTTTACCCGCCCCGTACGGAAAGCAACAGTACATTACGCTACGATGTTATCTCAATCTCAATCGTATTGAAGCAACACAAACAACCACATATGGATCACATTTTTACACCAATGGGGCCAACGAGTCAGACGCACATGGAACCAGGGACTCACGAAGTAATGCTAGTAGGATATGGACCGAGAAGGGGCGGGAAAGGATATCGATCTTGCTCTTTAAAGAGTGTCACGTACATATTCTATCATATACATATACAATACCTATACTTGTTCAAGATTTGAGAAGTGCTTTGGCCTTTAACTATCGTCGGATCATGGTTCTCCACAATCTCAAACCGTGGGGTGAACAACGCACAGTTTTACCAAGCGGTGACGAATGCTTTTTAAACCACTTTGTTCGTGGAGTCTGTATTGGACGAGTTTAGTGAAATACCAGTTTGACACTCAACGGGCGCTATTCGTCGCTGTTTGACGGGCTAGTTTCGCCGAAACCAAAGATTGCACCATCCGCGTCTCCAACCCAAGACCGACGGGCTGGTTATGACGCCCTAGGAAACTGCACGCCTATCGTTTCGTGGCTAGTGAACAGCCAACACGAGCATCAAGGGTCGAGAATTAAAGGGCTAAACCCCATATCCTAGCCAAGCCGGACTTTGCGGCCGGTGATGATGGGTGACTTATGAACGCCAAGCAGGCATGAACGATTAGAAAGAACAAATTTGACAACTCCCAAGAGATCTTTCGTCCTATGACAAGCTACATACATATGGGCTGCACCAGAACCCCAACATGATATGAGGCAGAAGTTTACTTCACTTGCCAAGGGGCCTCGAGCCGTATTCCGAGGAGATTACTACGTCAAAACGAAGTTATTGGTCGATTGAAGACCATGCCAAGCTGTAGCCAAAGGAAATGAAGTGCCGAGCTTAGCCACCTGTGGCGAGGTGGTTTGCGTGTCCCCGGACATTGTTGCTCTCCTTTGGGGTAACATCAAGGACGGGAATCCATTTAACATTGTGGCTCGTGAGCTCTTCAATATTCAGCTCATCTCGATTGGGGAAAACGCTTCAGGATATCGACGTGTTAGCGATGTTTCATGAATGAATGGTGCACAGGGCACCTTGGCCTTTGATTTGTTGCATCGAAATGTTTTAATTTGTGATGCGTTGTCTAGCGGACTCGCTTGAGGGTAATGCAGAGAGGCATCCCAGCCCAGTACCATGGCATGGCATGGCATTGAAGTTCACTTCACCGAGTCCACACGTACGATCCAAACACATGATGTTTACTTGCTCTGCATCGGATCGAATCTTTTTGATTTGGGAAGCGCCTTCTGATGAGTGTTTTCCTTATCCATGTCGTTATTGGCTTGGCAAAAGAGTCTGGATCATCCCATCGACGATTGCAAAGACTAGGTAAGGTTGTGGCCTGCCTCGTTATTTTGCTGTCATTCAGTACAATGCTGTGCTGTGTTGTATATCCAACATCTCGGTTGACAAAGTCTTTCCGTGCCCCATTGGGTATGGGAAATTGTATTATCATGCAACCACCTGTTACATCGTTGCCTTCATCTTTGGAATACAATCCCATGTCATGATCATGCAAGTGGTGGTCACTAGCCACAATCGAAAGCATTTCGCGCCTCAAGGAAATTTCCATTCAGTGTACTCTGTATCTGTACTTCACTCTTCTTCCTCGTCACAGCTCTCAGCTGAGCAAGGGTCGTTTTGTTCATCTGTCGACGGGCCGGATGAGACATCCATCCATCCACACACTCACCCATCCACAGCTCACATTCTCGACCAGTGAGTGGTGTGCCCTATTAATCGCCACACGGCAACGAGCCACATGTAACCTCATTTTTCTAACCACATATGTGGCGATAAGTCTCCATGTCAACCAAATCTCAATTTGACTGGCTCTTCTGATGTGCCAAATTATCTGCGGTCGAGAAAAGAAATACAGTACAGTACAGTATGTACTTGTGGCTTGTCGACTCCCGGAAGGGGCGTGTGGTGTCTAGATGGAGATCGGCAAGCGTCGAGCCACAAGTCTCTCTACATCACGAGCCATTTGTTCATCAACCATCGAGGTTTAGGCTAACTGCAACGGCGTTGGAAGATCTCATGGTACAGAGCTAAAAGTGACTTTAGCGGCCTAGGCGATTTAACCGTCGGCGACCGTTGGATGGTGTCTTTTTGCAAGGAGAGGAGGAGATAAACATCGGTGAGAAAAACAAAATGACTGGACCTTTGACAGTTGAGCCTGGGACAAGTGTCATACTATTACATTGTTCAAAGAACACTCTTACTGGCTTGGCCTCAACGATGACCCCAAGAAGGAAGACAATTCACGAAGATTTACGTCGCAGAATCAATACGGGAACCCACTTATGTGCTGTGCATCGAGCATCCAATGGCATCTGTCAATCAGCTAGATTGCTTCCTGTTCTGGCAGGTTGAGGGCATTCAGCCACAGCGTAGCCTTGTACAGTACCTCCTGAAGTCGAGTCCAAGAGACAATGAGACTTCACTGGGGCTGGAGCTATTACCCCTCGTTGCTGTGGCTCGCTGCTCTTAAACCATCATGACGCAAGGCGAGCGCCATTCATGATATGCGGTGCGGTTCCGGCTTTACATACACTCTGCCCTTGTACCTAACAAGGTGCGGGGTCCTCGGCGTGGGAATATCGAGTGTCAAATTCTTAATAAAAAAGGTCTGTCGGGGACTCGGGGTCGAGTCGAGAAAGAGTGATCTGCGCTCTAGATCCGGGCGAGCGACTGCCGATCGCCTGTCTGGACCTGAAGTTGCATGGCAACTCTGAGAGGGACAGATGATGGAGTCCTCCTGGCAAATTCCGAGAAGTGGTCAAAGATGATGGTTAAGCCATTGCGCATTTTCTCCCTTTGGAAACATACAAGAGGCCTCCCGTTCATTCTGGATCTGCCGCCTGTCTTGTTCAGTCGAGCGTTGCCTCGTTACATACGGGTGTATGCGTATGTGCGTGCAGTGCAGTTCAGAGCTCAACCCGATCTAATAAAATCTCAACATACACCACAAGGTCAATTGCATTTCGGCTTTAGCCGCTACTACCGACATCCCAGAAACTTCTCAAACGTCGGGCGGTAAACCTTTCGTATCTAGTTGGGTTCCATGCCTGTGGCCGATGAAAGACAGTCCTTGGATCCCTGGATGCGTTCGATCGATCGATAGTCTGTAACAGATCCCGATGATCATGAGAAATGCCGATGGCGAGCACATGGTAATTTAAAAAATTGCATACGCGTGTTCAAACCGTGGGCCTTCTTCGCTGCTTGTTATGCAGCCTTGCGTTCTTTTTTTGAAACTTCGTTCTTTGTCCTGAGTCATAAAGACTGGGCAAAAGACGGTAAATGCCCGACGAGAACATACATACTCACGCCCCTTCTTGTCTTAACTCGACCCATCATTACCTGGCCACATGTGCAGTACTGAACCGTATATCCGTGACCCGTCATCAAGGTAAGAAACAACCAGTATAAACATAGAATATTCAACCCCACAAACACGGGCCGCACGTGCATCTGCCCGCTGTTACATATGTGACACATGATGGGACGAGTGAAGGACCGATATTAGAAATTGTTTACCAGCGCGCAATGCTACGAAATCATCTTGTTAAGTTGACCAATATCTTTGTCAACCATCTTTTCATGCAGGTTACCTAATTTCTCTAAGATAATGGTTCAAAGGCAGGTTTGGAACATACTCTTTGAGTATGTTCTACTATGAGGTTATAACAGCTTTTTGCGCAAAGCTGACTGACCGAGTGGAATATATATTATTAGCAGTGGCTATTAAATTTTTTATTCTAGGTAGTATATGAGTTCCCGTGCACGGCATCTGGGGTATAAGCTTCCACAACAACGTGCCCTTTAACTATGGAGCGGAGTATCAGCCTGGGGACTCAATCTTCCAATATGATGAACCCTCTTGCTCTCTCTTTCGCCCTCTCTCAGCTCTCGGATGTATGAAGCTGTCTTGCTAACCAATAGGAAGCTGATGTGCCCATGCAAACTCGTAGCATTGTAAGCAAGTTCAACTATTATAGTCAATCCTCAGCAGCCCTGTCTAGGATATCGCGGATACTTTTCGCATAGTCCTCTCCGTCACCTTTGATACCACCAAGCACAACTGTCTTGTCGCGTGACTTCATGCCATGCGTCAACTGTATACTGGATTTGGGCACGCCCAAGATTCCGCTGAGGACCTGAACAACAGCCTTGTTGGCCTCGCCCTCTCTCGCCTGAGCAGAAACGCACAATTCAATGGCATCTTCTGTCACTGCGATGACACCCTCGCGGTTCTTGCTGGCTCCCGGCTTCACGCGAAGCTGAAGATGCAGAGAACCCAGAGGGGACTTTTTGGAGCCGGTGACGAAGCGGATGGCGCTAGACGACGCCATTCTAAGAGGTAAAGAGGATGCAATGGTATGCTATGATGCAGTCAAGTGTGAGGTGAGGGGTAAGTTCACCTTGGAGCTGAATGAAAGTTATATTATGCTCGGATAGAAGGATGATTATGCTCCCACTCAATTCATTGAAAATGGTTTGTTGGATGAATATTCTCTTGGCTTAGTACCTGCCTGCACATTCACTGGGTCCATTGGACTCGACTCTGCCCGCCTATTAATATTTGGCACCCTATTCACTAGCACTGCCTGAGATGCGGCGTCTGTCGCCTGTAGAAGCGCTGAAGCCTCAGGCCCGGTCAGCTGTAGTTGGAGCCCGCGTAACCGTGATTACAGCTCCCGCTGCCACTACAGCTGCAGCAGTTACCCTGCGTCGGCTCCCGCTCCTGCCCGGGCCCCACCAGCCCTTGATTCTACAGGGTCGACAAACTTGGACCTCAACTACATCATCAAATATCAACAATTCACAATCACCAACACTCAATCGCCGCCGATACCCAAAAGGCAGCTGCACGCTCGCTACTTCGCCTACCTCAAGAGTAGCGAGCGCCTTAGTCTGCTATCGTATATTTAGTCTCTCAGGCGCCATGGCCTCGGCCTTTAGCGCATATCATGGCCCTACTGCCGTCGCGTCGCAACACACCGTCACGGCTTTAGGGCGATGGTCTATTCTGAATCACGCTCTCCCAGGTTCGTCGGCTTCCAGATTTTTTCTCTCCAGTCTTCCAGCACCAAAAATGGGACTAACTCGCAACAGCCATCGATAAAATCAAAGCTCTTCACGTCTACGATTTCGACAACACATGTGAGTTTACACTCGAATGAATCGACAAGCGTTGCATCACACGGATCTAATATGGCACAGTATTCAAAACCCCTTTACCAAACCCCCAACTCTGGAACGGCCCCACGATTGGAACATTATCAAACCAAGAAACATTTGTTAATGGCGGGTGGTGGCATGACAGTCGCATTCTCGCTGCCACCGGCAAAGGCATCGACGTTGAGGAGAAGCGTGCATGGGAAGGCTGGTGGAACGAAAAGATAGTTGATCTTGTCAGGCTGAGCATGCAGCAGAAGGATGCTCTCTGCGTGCTGCTCACAGGTCGCTCAGAAAAAGGCTTCGCCGAGTTGATACAGAAAATGGTGACCGCCAAGGGGTTGGAGTTTGACATGATTGGCCTCAAACCCTCCGTTAGTCCGACGAATCAGAAGTTTCAGAGCACCATGCACTTCAAGCAGCTCTTCCTTGGGGGCCTGATGGAAACGTACAAGCAAGCAGAAGAGATTCGGGTCTACGAGGACCGACCAAAGCACACCAAAGGCTTCCGCGACTTTTTTGCAGAGTTCAACCGTCAACAGAGCACTGCGCGAACAAGAGGTCCAATCTTGGCCGAAGTCATCCAAGTGGCTGACTGCTCAACGACCCTGGACCCCGTTATCGAGGTGGCAGAGATTCAGCACATGATCAACATTCACAACGAGCTGGTTTCCAAACAATCCCCAAGACAGCGCCAACACCGACTCAGGATTAAGAAGACTGTGTTCTTTACTGGCTACATGATCGGGCCCGAGGACACCAAGAAACTCATCAAGCTCGCCCACATACCTCCCAACATGCCGCAACATGAGCTTAAATACCATGGCAATAACATCCTCATCTGTCCTCGTCCGTGTCCCGCTAGTATCTTGGAGAAGGTCGGTGGAATGGGTAGCAAGATGCAGTGGGAAGTCGTCGGTACGTCTTGTTTTGATCACAGTATTTGGGCAGTGCAGTTACGACCTATTCCCCAGAATTCCAAGTACCATACCGATAACCCTAGTCCTTTGGTTGTTTTGGCATTGAGAAAGGGAGCTCGACCAATGGACGCAGGGAAAATACAGAACTGGCAACCCATATCACCTGAACAATCGTTTACTTTTGAAACCGTGGTTGGTGAGAAGGTCATTTTACGCATCGAGCCGGAGGACCCGCGGGAGGATGCCTATGAGAGTCTATTCGCCAACAAGACATCGAAGCGGAAGCACAACGGTGACGAGGATTGGAATCAGAGGAACACCAATAACCACTACAGTGGACGTAATGAGTCCCGTGGCTACCATTCAGGCAGTCGTGGAGGTCGAGGACGAGGCAACCGTGGCCGCGGTAATGCTAGGGGCGGTCGCGGAGGCCGTGGTAGAGGAGGAGGCTACAACTACCGATCCCTCGACGATGTTGATCCTAGAAACCAGCAGGGCGGCTACGGGCAACAGGTGGATTATGATGACTCCTACCCGCCGCTCAGCAAGAGTAACAATCCCCCCGTATCAGCGCCCAGCGGTCCCAGCCAAGGAAACTTTGGCGGCCGAAATCAGGCGCCCCGTGGTCCTGCAGGTACACAGGGACGACCCATGGGTGGCCAGACAGCTCACAACAGCTCGGATTTACAGAATTACTATTAGAGATAGTTTATGGTCACTTTTGTGTCGGCCTTTATCTTATCTGGACGTTGGACGGCATGCATTTATAGTTATAATTACATAGGGTCCTGGTATGTTTAAGGATACTTGTTGTACAGTTCTCAATAGTGGTCTCAGTAGAGACCTGGCAAGGTGAAAGGCGTACCGGAGATAGCGAGGAAAATGAGCACAGTACTTCAAACAGATAGACCAAGAATTGCTTGCCGATATGAACCAACAAAGGTCGTGTATGTGCTTGTCATTATGCTTGTCAAATCTCGATTGGAGATTGTGGAATTTGACATGTATTTCAGTGATATCTTGAACGGATACTCGTTCATTCAGTACATATGTAGTTAGCAGTTGACGAAGCTGTTGTCACAACGAATGATCCGATGATGCATACTCCCTAATCCATCAGTAGGCAGAATATAAGAGACTTGGTGAACTCGCCAATGCAACTTTGCAACGTCAGACATTAATTAACCCAAACATATAGCAGGTCGTTTCTATAACGGCCTCGACAAGACGATGCACAAGAGCAAAGCACAATAATGTGAATCACGAGTCTGTAACTGTTTGGAAGATAACAGAAACCCTAATATCAAACCTGAAGTAAGTCTGCCTTAAAATTGAAGCCTCATTTCGTAGAGTAGTTAATCCCAACAATGGCCTGTCCATCTTGCCCATATCCCATGATGAAGGGAAGATGCTAGTAACATCAAGTTAGAGTGAATTGGCATCTTTGGACATAATCTGAACAATCACAAAGTCTAAAGTTCCCATTGGCTACTCTCGTTTGGTAGAGTGTAAGATCATGGAATGACATATATTTAGTGTTTCTATGGAACTTCCCATCACTGCATGTGACTTGAACTTACTCAAGATAAGATAGATATATTTAATGCCCTTGGGATATTTCCAAATGCAGCTCTTTGAGCTTGCTCATGTGGATTCCGTTCAAATTGAGGTTGTAGAGTTTGAGCCAGGGGTAGGTTTGTGAAGACCAGTGCTGTTTAGAGAAGCTGGATAACAGGGCTTACTTACTTCCAGGTTGACCTACTTCAAACCTATTTCAAGAAAAGCTCAATATAGTCGAATTTTGGTTGTCATCTGGCACATCATAAACAGCTTCAGGCTTGCGCCCAGAAGCGGTATCCTGGCTTTCATATCAATTTCTCATATATGCATAACAATCTCCTGTAGCTTCGGAAATCTTATACTGTCTGGACCATGATCTTGGGTCTTTGAACTCTAAAGCCTAGATTTTATGTTTCCACCTATAGATATGTATAAGCTTAAGGCAATTAAATCACAAATCTGATTGCCATCAGTTCTGTCTTTGCGCAAAAACCGGGGCCGAATCGGCCCCACAGTAGCCGGAAAGAATAAGTAAACTTTTATTAAGAGCCGACTTCGGCAACAAGACAATCGGAATGAAGATATAAAGAAAGATCTTATTGAAGTAGCCGGTGAATGCCGCCAGCATCTAATAGTCGGATCTTTTTATATACCACACCTGCCTCGTCTGCACTTCTATACTTCTGCAACACAAAACATCGACCAACCTACCCAGATATGTCCTGAGCGGAGGGGGGGAAAAGTCAGACTGTAATCTCTCAGGGTCAAGATTGACTCATGTAGATCTTTTTCCACAATCCTGAGACGCTTATCTCCTGCGGGGTCCATCCGGCGTGGGGCTGGACTAAGAACCGGTCCCGGACATGTTAAGGATTCCGCATGTTTGCTCACCATATCGGTAACAGAAGTACCTTTACGAGCCCACCAATTGATCCACCGGGGGATAATAAAGAATCCGTCTCTATCCACTGTGAGCAAACTAGCGGCTAGGATACTCTTTTCGGCATCCACATCGGTTGGACGATGGAGGGCGAAAAGCGCAATTTACCAAGCAAATATGTATATCCATGACTTATGCTGGTTCGATTCCTTTGCGTGCCGTTTTCCGGACCTCGAGATTGTCGGCTTTCAAAGGGAATCAATCACGTACACATTTTGTCACCCTTGTACCCTAGATAGACCAGACCGACTTGTTGATCTTCTATTGACATTTATAATCAAAGGAAGCCCTCTCTCCTCTTTTAAGCCGGAATGACGACAGCTTGTTGTGAAATCTGACATTGCAGCCAACAATCTGACAACATCCAGCTTTGCGACAGGAACGCGCCAAAAAGTCATGGCGGGTGACCTCGAAAAGGCGTCACCAGTCAATAGCGCTGAGTCGTCTTCCTCAACCTCCTCGATAACATCGTCGCCGGTTTTAGAGCCTATCAGGACCGTTGAAACGCGCCGCAGCCGTTTACACGATCCTGACATTCTTGAGCCATTGGAGCATGCTCTCACCCCAGATGTCGAGACAGAGGCGGAACGCGCGGCTCGCGAGCCCATCACTTACACACAGACTGGCACCAGCGTAACGAGCAACGCATCTCGGCCTGCTGACTTTGAGGTTTTCTTTCAAGATGGTGATCTTGAAAATCCCCGGAACTGGTCAAAAGCTTATCGCTACTGGATCGTTGTCTGTGTCTCATACTCCACTTGGGTGGTAGTATTGTACAGCACATGCTATACAGCATCAGTTTCTGGGCTGGCAGAAGAATTCGGAGTTTCGACAACAGTAACAACGTTGGGCTTGACGACGTACTTGCTTGGCCTTGCTGTCGGAAGTCTGATTGTAGCGCCCCTGAGCGAGTTATATGGTCGACAGAAAGTATACATTGTCTGCTTACTCGCTTGGGCTTTGTTGATCCTGCCTTGCGCCCTGGCCACTTCGTTGACCGAGATCATTGTTGTGCGATTCTTTGGGTAAATAATAATCCTTCAATTTGATCCATATGGCTAACAAAGACACAGTGCTGCATTTGGTGCCGCCATGATATCAAACAGTCCCGGCACTATCGTCGACATTACAGATCCAGATCATCTTGCTGCTGCTATGTCCATGTGGTCAATCGCGCCCCTGAATGGACCCTCTACTGGTCCTATCATTGGAGGTTTTGTGTTTCAATACTTGGGCTGGCGATGGGATGCTTGGATTCCTCTGATACTCGGTGGTGCAGGTGTCCTTATGATGCTAACAGTCAAAGAGACATACCACCCAGCCATCTTGAAGAAAAAGGCTGCGCGACTTCGTAAGGAAAACGACGATCCGAGGTATTGGTGCCAATATGACCAGAAGCTGTCAACTTGGCATCTTATCAAGATCAACATGAGTCGTCCTTTTATTCTGTTAGCAACTGAGCCCATTTTGTGGTTCATGGACATTTGGTACGTAGTTATGATATCTTTTCCTTTTTTCCTTTCGGGGTTTCCAGTCAAGAGAAAACAGCTAACCAAAAATTCAGGATCTCGTTGATTTATGCCATTCTTTATCTCTGTTTCGTGGCATACCCCATCGTTTTCTCGCAACACCGTGGTTGGAATGCAGGCATATCCGGTCTGGCCTTTGTCGGTATAGGTGTAGGCACAATGATGGCTATCTTTGCTGAACCTCTCTTCCGACGCGTTATCAACTCTCAGCCTCGAGATCCTGTGACTGGCAAGCCTCCGCCCGAGGCAACAGCTTTGGTCATGGCAATTGGCGCAGTTCTGACACCCCTGGGTCAGCTCGTTTTCTCATGGACGTGTCTGCCGGCATCCATCCATTGGGCCATCCCGATTGCTTTTGGCATTCCTTTCGGTGCAGGTAACACCATCTCCTTCATCTACGGCTCGAATTACCTGGCTGGGACGTATTCCATCTATGCTGCCAGTGCACTCGCCGGTAACGCTGTTCTTCGAAGTATTGCTGGAGGTGTCTTGCCTCTGGCCGGTCCCAAGATGTATGCAGCCATGACTCCTCAGTGGGCGGGCACTCTACTGGGCCTTCTCGAAGTCGCAATGATTCCGATCCCGTTCGTTTTCTGGAGGTACGGAGCAAAGATTAGAGCAAAGAGCCCTACTGTTATAGCTCTTAGGGAAGAGCAGGATAGGCTTGATACGAAGAGAGCTAAGTATCAGAGGAAATTGGAGAAGAAACAAAAACGAGAGACTGAGGGAGCGAAAGCAGCCGAAGGAGGGGTTCTGGAGAAAACTGCAAACAATTAAAGGGGCCAAGACGAAAAGCTGATAGTGCGAAGCTTCAAATTTGAAGACGCCTAATAAGAATTAAGAAATGACATTTGAGATGGCAGGATGAAGCCGCTTACGTGTGAACCTACCCGCCGCCTATACTTACTTTGCCCCTTCATCGTATAAGCTGAATACCTGAGGAGGTAGCAAGTAAGTCGCTCCTGGTGAGTGTTCTTTCCTAGCCAAAGCTTCCAAAAGAGATGGAGAATTCATTCCTAGGCCTTCCTTCCCCTTGGACATATGTCGCGAGGATTAAAAAAGACAAAACAAACATCAAAAAGAAACGATTACTCAATCCCATGGGAATTTATAGGAACAGCCCGATGCGGGGGTCGAACCCGCAACCTTGAGATTTGTGTACTCATTTAAGAGTCTCACGCTCTACCGATTGAGCTAACCGGGCCTCGTATCGAGGCTTTGCTTGTTGGAGGACGGTGCCAAATTCGTATAGATTAGGATGATGCCGGCGAAAGAACGATAATAGGCTGACTTGTTCATAGGTGATGTACAACATTGGCCTACTGGCAGATCTGAGAATATATCGTCAACCGAAACTTGTCAAAGATAATTTTTATCATAGATGTCAACTGTATATGAAATTTCACTCCATATGTCTGCCACCTTCGAGATATGAGAAGTAGTGAGACAGTGCAACTCTAGGGTAATGTGCAACGTAATATAATAGTTAGATCCAACAAACACTCAAACATAGACTGTTAGAATCTAATAATTATCTCATCTTAAACAGATAGATTTATACCGAGTGATAATGAGCTTGTATTATTCTTCTGATTTATGTATCAGACTGTGGCGCGCCGACCAAGTCTCCCATAGTCCGATTGACTTTTGACTCCCAATGGACCGCCTTCATATACAGAAACACAAAGTCGACCCAACCGATCCGCGCCGTGCAGGTAAGTTGTCCAATAAAGCACAACCCAATTCAATAACCCAGAGTCCTAATGACTCACCAACACTCCTATTTTCCCAGATTCTGCCCAACTTGATACTACATATCACGTCCTACTGAGAACCACGAAAAAAAAACAGATTGTCCAGTTCCCAAACCCCTATCGTCCCCTATTTTAGTTATCCTTCTCTAAACCCTCGAGCTCCTTCATCACAGATGACTTTGTGTTTATTTTCTTAAGCTGGGTATCCTCCAGCTTCTCTCCACCGGCCAGACGCATCTCTAGGTCCTCAATGGCGCGAACCTTCTTCTGGAGACTGCGGATCTTCTTAGCGTTGGGGTTCTGAGAGGCATCAGCAGCAGCGGCGGCAGCCGCACCAGAGCCCTGGGCTTGCTGCTGGTTTCCATGACCGTTACGGTGCGTATTGCTTCGGCTGCGGGGTTGGTTGTTGCGCGACTGGCTTCTGTTGCGATGGTTGCGTCGCTCGGGGCTGCGACCCTCGTGGCCTCGGTCATGAGAGGGAGGAGCCAGGCTAGCTCCACCGTTAGACTCGCCTTGGGGTCGACCACCCTCACCCTGGGCGTTCTTCTTATTTCTCTTCTTCTTGTTCTTAGACTTGGACGAGTTCTCATCGCCCATGGACTCAGCACCCGGAACAGTCCTGACGGTGGGTGTCTGCTCGGCAAATTCTGCACCTGGCACGCCTCGGCGTGGGCGACCGAACCCGTTGGGACCGACATTAGGAACACCATTGCCTACAACATGGGCAGCACCGCCCTCATCTTCACGTTTAAAGTGAAGGGGCGTGGCCAAACCACGAGCGCCAGGAGGACGGTAAGCACCAGCAGGTTTGCTGGGGGGCTTGGCCGTAGCCAATAGCGCCGTGGCAGAGGAGTGAGGCGTAGGAATGGGGCTCAAGGGATCACCGGGAGCGATGAACTCAGGACCTTGAGGTCGCCAGATAACATTGTACAACTCGACCATATCCTCGCTGTACATGATGCCGCCGCCAACGTGCCACAACTTGATACCATTGTCCACACGGAGTCGAGGAGAAGTTGTAGCAGTCATGATGTAACGGCTGTCGGGACTCCATTCGCAGACACTGGGGTTTCCGCTCTCGATAGTGGTGACCTTTCGGAAATCCTTCTCGAGGTCGTAAATATCGATCTGACCAGCCAGGTTGCCGAATCCTGCAACCAGAACAAAACGGCCAGTTGGTGAGAATGTGATGGTGTTTCGAGGGCCAATCGGGAACGAGTGAGTCGCAACGGCACGGTGGTTGAAGATGGTGGCCTTGGCAGGCATGTATCCATAGACAACACCAAACTCTCTCGAGTTGGGCGACCAAGAAACATCATGGATAGGGCCCTCCTTATCCAGGGACACACGAGCATCGAAGGCACCTGTGGTACTGAGCAGATACAGGGTGGTCTCGCCGTAGTAGCTCTTGCCTGAGCGATCAACGTCAGTCTGTGCCAGGACCAGAAGGCTGGAGCCAAGCTTGTTCCACTTCAGTTGAACCTTGTCTCCCTTGAAAAAGGTTTTTTGGGAGATGGGGTTGTTGAAGAGAGGAACGTTGAAGACCTTGACGGCAGCGGGCTGACCCTAGAAACGACTGTTAGCAAATGAATTTGAATGCACACGTAATTGGCGGTTAACTCACCTTGCGCTCAGGAACAAAGACGGCGACGGCATGGTTCTGGCTGCCAGGAGCGAGGGCAAAGTTGGTAACACCTTCGACTCGGAGCTTGTTCCAGACCGTGACGAGGTCGTGGCTCTCGTAGAATTGGACTTCATTTGTTACGAGACGAGCACAGTACTTCTCGTCAGCTGTGTACTGAAGGTTCCAGCCTTGCTGCTGCTTCTGAACAAAACGGCCAAGGGGCTGCTTGTCCTGACCAGCAACGCCCTCCTCTACAACACGCCAGACCTTGAGGTTCTTGGTGGCATCGCCGTTCTCATCTTTGCCAGGGCGCTCCCAGGTGATAACGAAAGTGCCACGGGGAGAGAAGCCGAGTTCGTAAACGTTAAGGATGGGGAGAGAAAGGACCTGCTGACCAGTTGAGGCATCAACAACGGTGACAACCTCATTCGAGGCCCAGCCGAAGTAACGTCCACAGGGCGAGTAAATACAGTATCGGAGGTTGCCCTCAGGCTTGTTGAACCCAGCGAGAGACTCGTAGACGGGCGCAGCGTCAAAGACGCCGATGGTCTTCTGGGTTCGGTAGGCAAACTGCAGCGGAGACGCCATGGCTAGTGAAAGTCACAGTGTCTCGTGTCTTGCGGAATTCTTTTTTAATTGAGGTCGGTTCAAATGTTCTGTCGTAGTCGTGCGGGCAGATTTCAAAGTAGATCGCGATCGTGGGGCGAGAAAGCTTAGGCTCAGAAGTGGATTGGACAAGAGAGCAAAGAGCTAAAAGAAGCTGTGTACTTTTTGACTGCGCAATCAAGAGCAGTGCAAATAGTGTTGCCTGGTTCTCAAATCCGACTCGTTCAAGAGTTGAATTGCTGAGCGATGGATGCAGATTACCGAAGAGGTTGTTTATAGTCGTCGAAGAGGCAACAAACTACCTAGAAGTGGCGGGGAATGTCGATATCGATTGCGATGCAAGAGGGAGGTGGAACGAAGTCTGAGCCTATAAAAAGGTGAAGTAGACGTACGTGAAAGACAAGAACTTATTCGATGACCGGAGGGAAGATGAAAAGAAGTCGGCAAGTCACCCAGAAATGGGAGGAGGGAGGAATTGGCGCGGCAGGGCCGTGATGTTTTGGGCTGAGAGGGAAACAAGAAGAGAGAAGAAAGAAGTTGGCTTGGCCACCAGCAAAAGATGTTTTTTTTGTTCGTTTTTTCTCGTCCAGGGTTGGCTCCAGCTGCTGCTCCCTTTTTTCGCCTGCCCGGGCACAAGCCACCTTCTGGGCAGGTACCTACAGTACACACCGCACCCATTCACCCTTGACTCAGTGTCTGCATTGCACTGTCTCACTCCACTGAATGAATGCATTCAAGCCATTGCATTGGAGTTTGACTGTCATGCCACAGGGCACTCGGCCCCAGGTTTCTCCCCAATGGGTGTTTACAGCCAATTGATATTGCCGTGTCCACAACGGGTGGATCTTGGTCTTGAGGTTTCAGGCTCTTTCAGCGAGGATCCCAACGACAAGACTCCCATACAGAACTCCTTTCTCCAGATTTCCACGTTACTTTCAAGCCACGCACAAGAGCCGCATGTATCCTTGATTTGAGCACTTAAACAGAGAGAAATCACGGCTAAGTGTCAATATACTCCATCACGCCAGAACCTCTCGTTCACCGCCTGTCTACTAATCTTGCTGGATCTCGGCTTGAACATGATGTCAGACCTTTGTTCATCACATTAACAGGACATTCATAGCCGAAGACTCAAGGCTGTGCTGTGCTATTCTCCAAAACATGGAACTTGGCAGTGACTTGATTTCGTTATACTTGTAAGCCCACAATGATATATTAACATGTAAGAGACAGTTTTTTATGCCAAGCAGATGTGGCAATTCACCAACGGAACAGCTCAGCTACTCATCACTACGTGGCACCAGTAAAGTCTTCTACCAGAACAACAGAAGCTTACAGTTCCTGAACCACAAACTGGCGCGGCTTTGCTCGAATGTTGAGATTTGTGCTGATTCAAGAATTGAGCGAACTTTATCCTACGTAAATATGTATATATCTTGTAGTCGGACATCCGTTTCCAGTGTACGCGGTCGCGTGCCCTTATTATATCCAAATACCTTCCTATTGTGATCATGTAAAGTTGATCCTTTACCTGCCCTTGAACTTCTCTCTCCAACCACCCTTCTCAAACAACCAGAGAGCCTCGGTGGCATAAGCACGACTGCCTCGGTGACCACCTTCTGCCATGGCAGCTTCTGTCAAGCTGTCCAATACCCGTCCCTTCTTAACAGCACCCCACACTCCCATGGCGATATGATCATCTTCACCTTTACCCCATTCACCAAGCCCAAGGCGATATAGAACCCTTCCCAATGTTTGAAAAGCCATACATCTTTGCGCAGGCACAGCGCTCCTCGCGAGATGAGCTAGTTCCGCAACTGTATACCCTGCAGCCTCTGGGGCATCACCATGATGGTGTAAGCCCTTTGACGAAGGGATGGATCGACTGACTCTAGGAGACAAAAATCGGCCCTTGAAATCGAAGCGCAAGGCATTTACCGCGATCTCGGGGTGAGGATAGTATGAAGAATCTTTGTCAGCTGGACTATCCTCCGTCGGGATCGGTGCCATCCATGCGAGCTTGCTTGGGTCGGCTGGGAGATTAGGAAAGTATTTTTTGTGAAGTGTAGCGAGGAAGTCCGGGTCGGAAGGGTCGAGGTCGGGTAAAGTTGGCGGAACAGGGAAGTGAACCGACTTGGGTTGGTCGGTGATAGGGAATAGATCTGGCGGTATTTGAGGCGGGGCTTTATCCTCATCGTAGTCGTCTGCAATCTTCTTGACAGAAGTCGTTCGTGGTGTTGAAGAGTCATTCTCTGGTACTGACTCTACTGACGGCTTGGGAGGTCGAGCGGGAGCTGCTTGGCTGTTCTTTGAAGCCTCGCTCTTGTCTGCATCCTCAACTTTGATTGTAGGCGGAGGCTCGGGCGTTTCCTCTTTCTCGGGCATCGGCGGATCAAATGGCGAAGGGCCATTTTGCTCGTCAATATTGGCTCGTGATAGTAATCTCTGAACGAGCGCAGGATTTAGACCATTCATAATTTCTTGCTGAGCCTGGGCGATTTCGGCGGGACTCATGCTGTCAAGCTTTTGTTGATTCTCCCGATCGATGCGCTGCTTCTCAACAGTTTCTAAATCCGCGTTGGACAGAGAGCCCTGGAGTTTTGTGGCCTCAGATTTAGACTCATGCGGTGCGTCAGCTGCCTGTCCCGCGCGCCTCTGCTTGAAAGCGGATGTTTTCCATCGTCGTTTGTGCTGCGGGAAACCGGTGGAGGATATCTGGACGTCGTCAAACTGTACAGGCTTCTTCTTTGATGTATCGTGCTCGACAATGTCGTTGATCAAGAGTGTCGGGTCCATATTGGGTGGTTTTGTTGAAGGTTAGGAAGGCTTTGACCTCACATAGCTTTTGCTTCTGACGTCTTTTTTTGGTCGGTGGAGGCAACCGCGGAGAAATCTTAGTGGGGTAGGGTCTTGTGCAGCCCCATGTTTTGTTCATGACGGATTGAGCCGTTCTATCACGTGCCATAACAAAAAAGAAGTAAGAAACTACTTTGATGAGGAAATCGAGTGATTTTTCAAGTCTATTAGAGTGAACTCAGAAAAGAATAAAGTAATAGTAGGAAGCTGAACAGTAGCGAGCTTTGGGGTTTGGGAAATGCTACAATCGTGACAAAACCGGTTGGTGGTTGACTGCATTGATCGCCGGATGAAAGTGAACTTAGCAATTCTCCTGATCCATGCCAAGATTATGTTAATGCGGGTTCCAATTACAAGTTATCTCGTTCCCTGGAAATAGCACCACGAAATAAAAGTTCAACTTCCAAGTCTCCTTTGTAAAATTTGTAAAAGTGCAAAGATGGATTAATTATGGGCAACTAATATTACTTGTTTTAATTATTGGCACTAAAACATGAGGTTCATCCCTCTATCAACTAAGGTAAAGCTGACTATTTAGATTTCAGAGGCCATGTCGCACCGCCACAGATTTGAACCAGGATGTTGGTGCATTAGCGTCGATCGATGCTCGTTCCTTCTTGGATTCCAGAACTTGTACTACAGAACCTTGCACACATTGCAAATTGTGGCTTCACTGTTAAGACAACGTCGGATGTCACGCTTACAACGATAAACATATAGTAGTTATCCGAAGAAAAATCCTCAGTGCCTATTTTACGTACTGGTGTGCATTGTTTATTTATTATTTTCGGCAGTTATCATTGCTGTGCACAGGTACTCTTTCGTCAGTGTTGAAACAGTTAGCACCTATGAGCGAAATAGTTGGTAAAGCTGGAACGTTAGCCAATGTGTAAAAGTTAAGCAAAATGCTTATGCTTTGCAGGCAGTTTCTCCTAAATGACGCATACGCGATGAGCCCATATTCTGGCACAACAGAATAGATACGTACTTTTGAAAAAGTGTCGATGATGTCGCGTGTTGTCAACCCTGTCAATCTCATATCAGTTCATACCTACCTAACCAATACGACGTACCTGGCCTGGTGATAGAAATAACGCGCGGGAAGAAAAGATGGATCGTCTAGACCTCATGACTATTTAGTATTGTCTATAGCAATACCTCAAAATATGCCGGCTATATACATTCAAAGAACCTCGGTAGACATCTAGGAGATACAGATAGATTTAATGCCAGCCACATTGCACTAAAACCGAGGAAAAAACAAATTTGTGGCTGATGCGGCCCTGACTACAGCCGCGTCCAATCCCTGTCTATGTACCGCGTCTAAGCTTGGTCCAACGTTTCTGGTTCCGGGACGAAGTGGCCCACACCATTCAAGGGGGGACCTGTCACTAGAACGGTGGGTTCTTCAAGTTAATTGCTGACGACAAAGGAAGTTTGGGAACAGAAAGGTCACAAGGACAAAATAAAAGTATGCTATATGACAAAAAACACACATTCGAAAAAGTAAACGATATGTTGTGAAAGACTATCCAATTGTAGCACGGAAAAGATACATGTCACAAGCGAGAAAGTTATTCCTGGCGTTTCCCCACGCTAAAGATTGACTGACCCCCGACCTCCGACCCCCCCTGCACGGCGGATGTTGCACATGGAATCTGAGTCGGTATTAATAAGGTACCTACTTGCCTTCAGGTAAAGTATCCGTGCGTCTGCCGGTCCAGTCCAAGGTTGGTTTATGTCCTTTCTATCCGTATCACTGTACTGTAATCTGCACTATGCATGTCTTTTTTGACTCTCTCGTTGCTGCGTTTTAGGCTCTCTCTACCTGGGCTCTCCAAATTGACTCTTGACTCTCGGGTTAATTACTTGGTAGACCCCCTATCCTTAGCTGATCCTCTGGTGTTGTTGGACATTTTGAGTCCCAGAGTCGATGAATTAGCCACGCCCCTCGGCGGTTTAATACAATTTCCCTTTCCCTTTTGCCCTTTCCCTTGTCTGACCTTCCTATGGTTTGGTTTGGTTCCATTCCCTTTTGCCAGATGATGCTTTTCTGGTCTGGCCCGTCCGTCCCCCCTCCTCTCGTTTCTTCCTCGTACCGTATCGTACCTCGTGCCTTGCCTTGCCTTGCCTTTACTTGTTGTTGTCCGAGTCGTAACATGCAATCGTAAAGAAGTTGTTGGCTTTGCCCCGTTTTTCTCCTTCCTGGCTTGGAAAATAAGAAATATTATCGTCGCCCCGAAAAAAAAACGTAGCCATCCCCATTTCATTTCTTCTCCCTTTTCCTCTTCTTCTCCCCCCCTTCTCTCACCAAACCTCCACCTCCCACCTATTTTTCTCAACAACGACAGTCGATTTTATCACCAGAATCGCCCAGTTTCATCAAACCAAGACTATTTGCGCATCCTAATTATCTCCGAATTGTCGTCATTTTCTGCTACTCAAACGTCAGCATTTTCTGGCGCTCTCGAACCGATCCGCACCCCATAGTCGGCTTGTTTATTTGCTTGAGAAGTTGTCTTGACAGTCAAGGTCGTTGCTTGACCCAGATCTTGAGGCTATTCAGAGATTCGAGCTTCTCCACCGCCCGCCCGCACCTGCACTCCGCATTCTGGCCACTCACAGCTCGTTTCACCTCGTTACCCTCTGACGCTTCTCTCCCGCCTGCAACCATTCCATTTACTGACGAGACCCGCACGCCACACATTCGACACCTTCTATTCGCTGTACCTGTACCCATCTCTGTGGTGCGTTTCGCGCCGTTAGCGTGTACCACTACACCACTACAGTACCTATCGCCGACCGCTATTCGCTGCCTTTTCGATTTTGGCTGCATTCAATCACAGCCTTGTCAACGCGACAAAGCCTTATCTGATCTTTTGTTCTTACTTTCCTCTTGTGTCGAGGCCGTGAATAATTTATTATTTCTTGCTTTGGTGGTCTTGAATGAAACACGGTCTGCATTAATCTTTCCGACCAACGTATAGTACACGCCATACAGTTACTTCCTAGGGCTGTTCGCTGCCTCATCATCTCTCGGCATGACTGCACCAGTCGGCGACACGTCTATGTCGCGATACGATTCATCAGCCGGCGAACTCTCGTCGCCTCCCTCTGGATCGCTTTCTGACCCCGGCTCACCATCACGGAACGGTTCGAGTAGTCGCCCACCACAGGACTACGATGAAATCGTAGTCGTTTCTAGCGACGGTAAATATGAACACATCGGCCACCAAAACCATGGTGACCGACCTCGACCTCCTCTGCCGCCGCAATCAGGCACGGGACCTGCTAAACGATATGCACTAGTCGATAACCAATGGGTGCAATTAACTGCCGCAGGTGTCCCTAGAAAGAAGCCGGGGCGTAAACCCGGGACCATTGTGAAGCCACGAACCTCAGACGCCGCTGATATAGCCAAGGCAACACGAAAGCCTCGAAAGCCCCGCGATCCCAATGCACCGCCCATGCCACGAAAGAGAAAGATTGCTACTGGTGATGGCGAAGAGGATGTTCCCTCAGACTCCAAGTCCCTCGCCGCGGCTGGGGTTACCATGGGGGGGCAGTCACATATCGCCGACGCCTCTAGTCTTTCAGTGTCTTCACCGGCTCAGCATCACCTTCAAACGCCATCATCATCTCACAAACCAGAGCAGCGTTATTCACCCAAGATGGCGAAGCGAGAGCACTTTGGCTCTATGCAAAGCCTTCTAAACTCGGACCCTCCCGCTGAACGGCCTTCCTCGCAACCGCAGTCCCAATCCAACAGTTCTACATCAATTCCTGTGCGGACAAGCGGCCAAAGTTACGATCCTATCCGTGGTAACTACGATCCAGTGCGCGAGACAATGGTCTCCCATAACTCTTACAACTCAGCTTCTGGGTCACCACGGGCTCCTTCCCAGATGCCTAACCGCTCGCCGACTATCGCAAGTCTTCTTGGTGGAACTGAATCACGCAGCTCGTATCAGCCACCGTCGAACCAGCCTCGCTTTCAGGCACCTGAGCCCTCCCAACCTCCATCACCATCTAAAGAGCCCCAGACAGCGTCGACACCGACACCAGCTCCTTCCGCACGACCGCCTGTGCAAGAACCTAAGAAGGATCCTGCCCCTCCGCCGCCCCCAGTTCAACGCCCTGTCATCAGGGAATCTAACTTTACGACGATCTCTAATGGTCCTGTCAAGAAATCATCGCCCAAGCAGAAACCCCATACTGGAGTTTCAACGCCCAAGACCGACAATCTGGATGACATGCAGGAAGGTGAAGGTCGTTCGATCCTCGATTTTGGTCGAGCCAAGCCGGGCGAAGAAGCCCAAGCCCCTACCATTATCCTCAGTGTACCTATCCAGCCCGGAGAAACGAACAGATATGTCAATTTCATGCGCATGGCCGAAGATCGATATGGATGGGACGCTCTTCACCCTCGTTTGGCTGCTAATCGGGATCGCAAGGCTCGAATCGCCGCGGCAGCTGCCTCCCTGGAAAAGGCGGAGTCTGGCCGCGAATCCGGCGACGAAATGTCCGTTGACCTCTCCGATGGCGAGGGTAGTAACCCCGACAACGGTGTAACCAGCGGCGCTGATGCGCAGGCCAAACCCAAGAAGAAGCGCAACTTCAAAGAGGACCAATACGATGTTGATGATGATTTTGTGGACGATTCAGAGCTTCTATGGGAAGCACAGGCGGCAGCAAGCCGTGATGGATTCTTTGTTTACTCAGGCCCCTTGGTGCCTGAGGTTGAAAAGCCAACTGCTGGGTACGTATCGTCATATTTTGCTCTTTCCGATTTCGTTCTAACAAGTACCAGTCAAGAGGGACCCCCCAAACGCGGACGCGGTGGAAGAGGCAGCCGAGGAGGTGGTAGAGGTGCATCAACTCGGGGTGGAGGTAGCACCGGTCGTGGAGGTGGCCCAGGATCTCGTGGCGGCTCTGTCACC